CAAAGAAACTGACATACAACCTCATTCGCATTTACGCGTCACGCAACGTCGTCATTGGCCTGCTGACTTTTGCGGTCTCCCTCAGAGGAGATCGTAAGCTCATGGGCTGGATGATACCCATATGTACCATCAGCGGTATTGTCGACGGCTTTGTGAGCCTCGACCAGATCGGGACAGGAGCATTCAACCACTGGCCGCTTGTTCCGATAGCGCTGTTGGTGTGGGCAGGGATGGAGGGTTTGCTTGGTTGAGATGCACCTATCAGTGACTTGTATCTTGAGCCATAGATGCTAAATTACTCTCAGGGAGATCTATATCCCCGATTTTGTATAGCGTGCACAGCGTGTCCGGCTTCCCCCAGGTGTGCACTTTCTGCTTCGTGTCCAGTCGCTCAAATCCAAACCAAAAACTATAGTAATCTGCCACGTAGCTCCATACACCACCGAATACAGTGGTGATATTGAAACAGGTGGTCTTGCACCACGACATCCCGAGCTTAAGTTGAGTGCGACACCCGCAGCGGGTGTCGGCATCCTCGACATCAATGTAGTGTAACGGGAGTCATGCTTGCCAAGCCACTTTTAGCGTGTCTGTAAAGCTCATTTCAATTATCTAGGGACATTATATTGCTATAGTATGAAGCTATTACAGGTCATGAGGCTCATCAGTCGGGAATTGCTGAAAAAGAGGGTCAGTTAGTGGCCTTGCTAGATTTTGTTGCATTTGTCCCCATGGTTGCCCCGGCCGGTTCCTTTCGACGTCGTATGTGAGATTCCGTGGCGTAACCTTCCATTGTACTGTCGCGTTCCCCTGTCGGTAGGTGCTTCTCTGCGACCCTTTCGTCAAATAGTTGGCGCTTACAGCTAAACTTCCGGTGTGAAGGTCTAGACCGTGAATAGTCCGGTTGAGTAGCGCCAATGCCGCCAACGGTTGATAAAAGGGAACCATATGACCGCTCTCAAAGATTCTCACAAAACTGAAGTTGCCGGCTTGTTTTACTTGCCCATGCACAACACCATCACTCGTGCGTATATCTGTGTACCCTGCCTTTGCAAAGCCCTTCGCCCCAATCTTTTCTGCGACAGCCTCGGCGCCCAACCAGTTGCAGTTAGCATCGGCGTCACCCGCTATGATGGCCACTGCGATCTCTTTACTCAACAGGTAGCGAATATCCTCGATTGTATCCACGCCTCGGGCATCGTCTCCGGTGCCGGCGAAAGCGGTCTGTACCACGCCATTGCTCGAAAAGTTGGTGAATGCACCGATCGCCTCTTGGACCTTGGCTGTGTTAAGATAATCGCCGAAAAATGGGTAAGGGAAAGGATCCGGATTTAGATAGCGGACATCGTATTGGTCTCGATCCAGCAGCTCCGTGTACACACGTTCTACCTGGGAAGAGCAGAAATGGTCGGCCTTTGAACAGATCGAATCACCCCCTGTCCGTTGGCAGTCCAAGAGCTGGTCGAGGCAGTTTCCCTGGCCGTATAGACTATTGAAGAGGAGCGTCTCGGTGCTCTTGTTGAGCGATGGGAGATCATAGGTATTGCCAGGATAGACAGAGAAGTTATAAAATGCTTGGTACTGAAGGATTGGGTCAAGCCTGCGAGACTCGGGTCAGCGACTGCCGATACCAGGCAGAGCTCCGGGCTACGAACCATCCGTTCAAAATCAGGAGACCTTGAAGTTGGATATTCTTCGCCCCGGGAGGATCGAGTTCATTCTGCTGTTCGACATATGCGGTGAAGACTGGCCCGTAATGACCGCCGTAGCTTTCTGTGGCTATAATGAGACCATGGCTGGAATATTGGGGGAAGACTCCCATGAAGCCCTGCAATGTCTTCCAAAAGCTGGGGGCCGCATTGACGGTAGAGTTGGCAGAGAGGGTCAAGTTGGGGTACGAGTAGGTACCGCATTCGGTAGCATATTCCGGACAAGACTCTTGTGGCAGGACTACCACGTCTCCCCTCCTCTTGTAACCGGGTACTGTTTTCGCATAAGAGAACCCAACGTGGTTTGGCTGGTCGATGAACAGTATGTTGCTCACGTTGCTCCAAGAGTATGGGTTGCTATAAGGTGCACCAAAAAAGTCGATACCGCATGGGCCGAGCTCTTGAAAGAGGCCGATCATAGAGCTAGCTCCGGGGCCGCCGTTGAGCCAAACCGTCAATGGGGCATCGGTAGAACTGCCGCGCTTCTCGAAGAACCACCAAAATATGTGCTCATCATCGCCCACGTCGGCGTACCCCGAGAAGCTCTTAACGGCGGGATCAAGCTCACAAATACCTACCGGCACCTCCTTGTACCGGACTGGAACCCCGGCGTAACCCACGGCGTCTATCAGCTCTTTTGGCGGAGACACAAACTGCGCTGACGCCAGCGGCAGCATTGCTGCTATCAAGAGTGGCTTTGGCCGAGCCATAGTCTGTCTTCAATCGGCAGTTCTGTCGCGGTGCTGTTCCAAATTAGAGACTTGTTCATATGATGGGATACTTGTGTGAGAATACTCCTAAGCGTGGTGTGATGATTCGATTTCTAACCCTGGGAGTAGAAGGTCGGTCGGGGTGTTGTAGATAAGAAGCACAGATGTTGGGGTAAATGTGGTGGCGGCTCTCTTGGGTTAGACTCAGTTCGGCTACTTCACAAGGTCTTGGCAGCAAGGATTTAGTGGGGCAGTTGAGTTGCTGAAGCAAGGTGGCCGTGTCATGCCTCTGAGGCACTCAATCGTTTCTATCAAAAAGTATCACACACGAGAAGTCTTCGTTCCTCTGGCTATCCCTGGGTTGTTGAAGAAACGCCACAGGCCAATGAAACCCGCAAACCTCTGCCCGTTGCCTTTGAACAGAATAAACAGAATTAGGAAGTCATGATTGTTGTTAAAATTGTTCGGTATGAGGGATCGCAAAATCCCAGAGTCATCGTTGGCTGTCCGCCTGACATAGTGCCTCTTCCAGTTGGCGCGTCGTCGATCTTCAACATTGATTGCATAGCCAGAATCCTTTGTAGGGTTCCTCTCCTGGCTTGAACGGACTCTGTCTAGAAACTCAGGGCTTATCGATCTAGCTTCTTCAATCTCTTATTTGACAAGCGAGATAATCTTGGGCTCGATGCGACTTAATGCGCAATTCGCAAGACTTGTGAACCCCAGGAAATCTGTTTAGGTGACTTTGACAAGTGCGTGGCAAGATATCGCGTCCATGCGTGCTCTATCAATCAACGTTTCGAGTGCCCCTTTAAGAACCTCAGAATCGTGCTTCGATCCATGGACCTCCGAATGCCAAGGTTCCTGGTCTCTCCCGCGGAGTGGTGCCCATCGGAGATAATAGTGTTCGAGACTGGGGGCTGGGCAAGTAGCAGACGGCCCATTCGACAGATTGGCATAGCCAAAAGAGGGATATACACTACTGGCCTGGCTGCGACGAGGTTATCTGACAGCGAAATATGCCAGATCATAGCTAGGTGTGCGATGTGCATTTTCTGGGGTACCGGATCTTGTCTTGCTTTCTGCGTTCTTCCATAGGGGCTGTCGGGAAGGGAGTGCCCGCACATAGTGCATATTGGGGAAAACTGCACTAAATGCCAACTTCCACAGTAGCGGTGCCAAATATATTCCTTTCCTCAATGATTCGACATTGTAACAGAGGCAGAGTTGAATCACAGGCTGCCGGATTTGTACGGAGAAGGAGGCATGGAGACGGTAAAGTGATGTGGTTAGGAGCAAACATTCATATGTTGTAATCAGAGGCTTGCTCGCAGAGAGCCACAAAGTAATTCTGGACTAGCAGATATACTATGTGAGGTGCACTCGCCCTCTGGAAAGCTTGTCCATCTTGTCCAACTAGGTACCCAATGCGGTACGAACCAGAGCATTAACAGCCAGTAAGACTTCCTGAGAATACCGGAGAGTTTTCCAGCAATTATATTTAAAAAGACGACGAGCTCTAATATTTACACCCAATTAGGCCGATACAGCGAGTAAAATTGAGGCATTTTCAGTGCTTTGAGACGCACAGAATATCCGTGCCGTTCTGATCCTAATGGTATCTACGCTACTAAAGATTTCCATGGCTTCCAGGGCCAGTGTAGTGTATACAGGGGCATAACTGTGGCACCTACAGCTTAAGGCAATGTACAAGAAGGTTGAGTTGAATCAAGTGACCCAGTGGGAATATTGGACCCATTAGCTAAAATTAAGAGAAATTGAGACTGGTTGTAAATCTCGTAAAGCTCGAAATTTTACACCTGAGGGAAGTTCGTAATGGTTTTCTTTGTATGAGCTGTGCAAAATTATAGCTTCGGGGCTGACGACTCATTTCTCTGGATTCTAAAACCAAAAACAGCAAAATTGATAAATCGGTGCTTGTAGTACAGCGGTGGTTGCGAGAGCAAAAAACCAACATGAAAAAGGGGGAGGAAAGAGGATTGAAAAGAAAAAAAAAAGAATGGATATGAGAGTTTGTTGCCCTCACTAGGACTCGAACCTAGGACCTCGACATTACTAGTGTCGCGCTCTACCGCTGAGCTATAAGGGCTCGATGGAAACCAGGGACACTAAAAGGATACCTAAAACAAGAATTCTGAGAAAGAAAAAAATAGAATGAATCACGAATGGGTAGCGTCGGTATTTGCCGGGATCAGGTCATTCCAGTTCGGGTTTAGGCGACCGACCAGGGCGCTGAGTGTAAAGCTGCTGCTGGAGAAACGCCTCGACCCCTGCAGTGGAGATAGCGGCTGGTCATAGGCGTTGACTCTATTGTCGTGTGCGTCGAGCGCCTCAACGAGGCTCTCATAAATATTGGCCCAAATCAGAGTGACCTCATTTTCTCCTCAGCAACCGATAGACCCGAGCGACGACCCGGCAGCCAAAGTGCATGTGAATCAGTCTGCCCCTGCTCAGCTTGGTGGGCCTAAAGCTGCGCTGGTCCAAGCACAACCCCATTAAAACTAAGACCAGCGCTCATCCTTCTTTCAAAACTCTTTCTAGCGGCGGAATTTTCCATCGAGCCCTTATAGCTCAGCGGTAGAGCGCGACACTAGTAATGTCGAGGTCCTAGGTTCGAGTCCTAGTGAGGGCAACAAACTCTCATATCCATTCTTTTTTCCCCTTTCAATCCTCTTCCTTCCCTCTTTCAATATATATATATATATATATATATATTTTTTGGCAATGTATCATTTCTCGAAGGCTAGACTTGAGGCCAATGCTGCCCTAAAACGTCTCTAGCTTCCTGCTCCTACTGGTATTTTTGCATCTTCAACAGACCTCAGCTCAGCCGGGTTGATCGCAGGCGCGCGTCCTGACTCCGAGGCATTGGATGTGCAGGTGTCGCGACCGAACTATTGAGCACAAGAATCCCGGGTGGTTCTTGTCCCTGTGCTAGTCGTACATATTCCTCCACCCAGCGCAGCAGCTTCTCATCCGAATACGAATCCAGGTCTTCGCCTCTCTCTTCGATAGGCCATTCAAGTATCTCGTTCTCTTCTACCCTGGTGTTGCGCCTAGGTCCGAGCTTGGGGAACCTTGGTGCTTTAGACGCGGCTGTTGAGCTCACGATTGCTGTGCTCGCTTGACCCATGCCAGGCAATAATGCTTTCCAAGGAGGTTTCCTTGGCTGTCAATTCAGATGTTCTCGATACCTGGCAGGGGATGAACTATGGACACGGTGTTTCATGTGTTATGGGAAGGCAGATAGTAACTATAGGGCCTAAAGTTATAGTAAGTATTAGCAGAATAATAGGGCCTTGTATTTTATTTTTTGGCCAAATCTCAGCCTCTAGTGCCCTTTGTTGGTACGTCCACTAAATGCACTAACGGCAGCTGGGCCTCGGTTGAAATAAGCCCGTTCCGACCCCGCAAACTGGGGCTGGCACTTTAACGCCCGCTATGACGGATTGGCATGTAGGCTACATCGACCTTCCGCTCCGCAGTCCCCCTTCGTCTTCTGCAGAAGACCAGCCATCCAGACAAATAGCACCAGGCTCACGCCATGCCGACGCCTTATAGAGGCAGCAAGGCATGTTCAATATGCCACAAGAAGAAAGTAGGGCTCTTTACGCTCCGAAAGAGAATCTCATGCTCACTCTCGTGAATAGGTCAAATGCGACCTTGCCGAGGGTAACCGGCCGTGCACAAATTGCAGGCTCGGGGACTATCCATGTCGGTAAGCTGCCGCACTTCCCCAAAAGATGTGTTTGTCACAGTAGCAGTTGCTTATAGGTTGTGACAGTCCGCATCAACGCAAGCGGAAACGATATAGCACTAGCCCTGCACCCCTCCGCGGCATCGCTGAACACGAGCAAGCGGAGCTCGGCATCTCCGCCGGCACTGGTCTGACTATCGCATCAGAATGTGAAAACCCAACCTTGGACGCGAGCACCGGCACAACCCGGCTAGTGGGCGATGCCATGTCCCCACGGATACAGCTTCCCAAGCCGGACGCGTATGAAACTCCGTCTACGGAGCGGAGCTACGTCGGGCGCAGCGAGTACCTAGGAGGGCAAGTCCCGTTCACGGAGAACACAGCGGTCCCCCCAAAAAACCCTAGTGGAGAACCGGAGCTTGCCGATCTCGATGTGCGGTCCTTACGCCTGCGGAGGGCATTTGACCTGCCGCCGCGGGCCATCCGTGAGAGTTTGATCGATGCCTTCATGGAGCGATGCCATCCGTGGATGCCAATCCTTGAAAGACGGTGGCTGGAGGAGAGCGATCAGCGCCGGCCTTCACTGCTGCTCCTGCAGTCCGTCTTCCTCGCCGGAAGCCGTGTCTCATCGAGTCCTCTCGTCTATGCATCCTCGGCCGATTTCTTCGAGAGAGCGAAGGCGCTCTTTTTCCACAGCTACGAGCAGAACACCCTGCTGGCTATTGTGGCTGTAATCATTATGCAGTGGTGGAACCCAACTGGGCCGGAAAAGATTTCGACTAGCACGAGCGGCTTCTGGGTGCGCATTGGGGTCGAGCTTGCATACCAAGTAGGTCTCCATAAGGAACCCGAAGACGGACCGTTCAAAAACTTTCGACGCCGCCTTTGGTGGACTCTAGTTGTAAGTGTTTTTTCTTCTATATCGGAAATGCCAGCTCTAATACAGTTGCTTGTAGAGCCGCGACAGCATCATATCGGTCGGTACAGGCCGGCCAAGAACCATCAATCTGGAGGACAGCAACGTAAAGCCTCCTTCTATAGAGGACTTTGCTGTCCCCAGCCTTCACGCCAGTTTATTTGTCGCGTACATATCGATATGCAGGCAGATGAGCGACATTGCTGAGGCCCAACGACGACGACAGCTGACCAGCTTTCGCAAGCAGCAGTTCGAAAACGCTCTGTTTCGGTGGCTGAAGGAGCTACCATCGCAACTTCGCCTCTTCCAATCGGACGAGGCCCGGACGCTTGCACCATATAATTTTGAAGCCCGCCAGCTCGCAGTCCCTTACTTCGTGTCTCTCATCATTCTCCATAGGTCTTCGGGGAGCCAAGCTCCTGCATCTACGGTCTCGCTAATGGCGTCATCATTTGTAGTCACTATCATTGAGGAGTTCCTGTCCAGAGACCAGCTCCGGTATCTTGGCCCTGTCTTCACCTTCTACGCCCTGGCGGCAGGCCTCGTCCAGGTTACAGGGTTTAGATACGAGACACTGAGTGAAATTGCCGAGCACGAGTTCAATGTCATCCGAATGGCACTCAACGAGCTCGGCCATCGCTGGGGATCTGCCCATGGGGCTCTTGTGGTGCTTACTCGGGCGAAAGATGGCGTAAAACAACAGCCCCGTCTCCAAGATCCGCCGCCCGCTCTGCCTGCTGATGCTGCCGTCCTCTTTGACGAATTCGGCCCTCAGCTCTGCAGGTTGTGGGATTCCGGCCTCGGGAGACCAGGGAATAGGGACACAAACACGGAAGTGGGTGCGAGACAAGCTGAGACCTGGGACTATTTTCGGTCCGGGATGAGATCTCGGCAGTCTCCACGAGTTGCTACGCACCCGACACAAGAGCCAAATAACTCAACCTATTCCTCCTTATTCGAAGCGGAAACAGCAATGGACATATATGGGAGCGGGGTGGAGGAAATGCCCCTATTTGATGAGTCGCTTGCCCCGATGGAAGGGTTTTGGTTGTTTGAGGACTAGGTTGGCCGCTTTCTCTCGCGGCTCACCGCCGAGGATGAATCTTTGACTAGCTTACAAAGTGACGGCTAGACTCCAGACTCGGCAAAGTAGCATAGACTTAGAAGTCGCTTTGATCACGAGTCTCGCCAAGCAGTGTTCGATCAAACATGATTCGCATGATTAATCCGCAGGTATGGGCGGAAACGGCCCTTAATACTTCGTCCAGGTTACCCAGGATATTGACAAGCGGCCTGGGGTCGTGGAAGAAAAGTTGGAAGCATTTGTGAAGGAAGATCTTGCTTTAGCAGCACTAGTCCATCATCACGAGGGTAGACGCGATATCGTTGTCGCCATTTATCTTTGGTTCCTATCCTAATCTCAAGATACCTCCATATATCCGTGCGTGACCTTTCCCACGCCAAGACAAACAGCGAGCCCCCGCTAGTAAGCACAAAATTAGAAACTAAAGTTGCAACGCTACGGACGCTAGACTCGATGTTCTCTTCCACTAGTTGGGCCAAGCCAAGCAGCCCCGCCCTCATGAATCACCTCTCTTCGGAACCCCCGTGGTATTGTGTCACCAAACGGATGTGCCTGTTCTCAAATCCTTCCTGGGAGGTCTGGGGAGTCAGAGGCGTGTGCACTTGGACTCTTCCTGCCAAGGAATGCAATAGTGGGGTCTTAGCCAGGCTTGCATTCAACGACATTTTTAGCTGAGGAAGGTTTCACCTCTGCTATCATCCGGTTGATTGCGAATGATCACAGGAGAGGACCCCAACACGACGCAATGTGCCGGGGTCGATAAGAGCGTGATGCCGTCACCGGTAGCTCGTAACGTTCACAGTGAAGAAAGTTCTACATCAGCACAGTTGCACGAGCCCCCGCAGCCTACACAATTTCCGTATATTTCAGGACCATGGCCGCCACTTTCGGCCCCCGGTCCTCCTCCAGAACCATCGAGCTCTTTGTGTACATCTTCAGCCCTTGGCGACCACCTTTTGATTGACATCTGCACTCTCTATAGGCCGGCACTGGTATCGTGCATATGGGAGGCCGCAGTGATGGCCACTCGAAGGAATATTCCGAAACTACTGAGAATCGCTCCCCCAAGCCGGACCGCGCACCAGGGGAAGTTTGTGTCTCCCGATCAGTCGCATGTGATCATGCATGGATGCACGGCTTCTAGTCCTCGGATGCCACACAGATGTGCAGTAAGAGCCAATAAGCTAATCGCTCTCCGGAATGAAGAGTATCCGTCATATATATGCACACATCGGAGCTTCGCCGATCGGTAAGCACCTAGATGTGCGGGAAAGCGGTCGCCCGGCGTGGCTGGTGCGACTGCATTGAGGGAGGGTTAAGTCGGCTAAGGCCAAAAGGCCTGTTTCAATAATCGCCACAGCCCTCCATGGCTGCTTACTCGGGCAGCTGCTATACCCGTGATTGCTTACATAGCTGCTATACCAACCCTAAGAGAGCACGTCAGGCCGCTCAGAGGCCAACCACTCAGGGGCTATTTCAGCCGCGGCCAACATGCCAACATCCAGAAGGGGGGGGGGGGGGGGGGCCACCGACCTAAAAATGGGCCGCATTGCAGGCTTCCAATCCCCGGCCGCGAGCCAGCCTTGGATCCCGGCCGGCAGATGTCGGCTGTTGAGCGATGCTGTGGGGGCGGAGTCGCAATATGGGTCTGGCTGCTGCATAACGTATCTACATTTTCCCGTCCACACGCTCCAATCAGCGAATGCATTGATTCCATGATTAGCTTTCTTGGGAAGCCTTCAGCATGGTAACCTGTCTCAGTTTTAGAACAATGCTAGCCAAGCGAGCGAAACCCCGATAGTAGCTGAGCTGGGCACTGGGCTTCCGAAGCGCGCTATGCATCTGGCTTTGTCGCCCCCCCCCTCATGGGATTGGCCTACCTACCCGCCAAGGACTGACAGTGCAGTATTTGCTGCCCCAAAGTAGTATATCGCA